ACGCGTTCTTCCGCAGGATGGAATTGGTAATAATTCATGAAGTTCCCGTGCCTACTAGCGCCCGGATCCGTCTTATCTTCTGGCCGTTCCTTACACGGTGATCGTTCCTCGTCCCCCGACATTTTGGAAAATCTGAAACCGGTGAGTCATTGCATAATTCACAATTAAATATCATCGTTTCATATGTGGGTCACTTATGGGTTATATATAGCGGGTTACTTGTACGACAGCGCCAAAAGTAAATGATCCTTTTGGTGCACCGGAGTAGGATAAACATCTTTTTATTTCAACTCCATTTTTTATTGGCAAATGAACACGTCTTACGACTCTCTTGAGCATCTATTTAGTAGAATACAGCAATCGTTGGATAATTGAAGTAAATAGCATGCTTCAGACCGTATTAAGAAACGTGATTTCAAGAAAAAGTTGAAGTTATCACGACATCGTTGCAAGTCCCTAGCCACTTGTCCTTTTGGACTATGATGCATCTGGCTAAACGGGTTGCAAGTATAATTTTAAACAGTCGTATTCCACTTTCTTCAACGAAGGCAAATAACAGTTCCAATTCTATCTTACACACGAAACACGTTTATCTATTTCTCAGATAATCTTAGACATAATTAAACGTGTCTGGATAAGTATTATAAGGCCCATTAAGATATTAGACTCGTTAAGATACGAAATCGACCAGTTCCTGTCCAGGATTTAACAATTTAACATCATCGACTTCTATTGGAACTTCATCTACGGTGGAATGGAATCTATCGTGGAAAGGAGCAACAGGGATGTTTGGTCGGGTCTTTAGATTACGATTTGAGCGCGCGGTGCCGCCGTCTAGACTGCGGTTTCGCAAAACTTCGCGAGCATCGGTTTAAAAACAATGCACAACTAACCGCTAAGCGACTGTGAAAACGCGATAAAGACGTGATAACGAAGAAGGAATGGGGGTCAGAGACGTTGTAAGAGCGGAAGGATCGAGGAGATAATTCGCTGGTGTCCGCGACCCAAATAAATGCAGCCTTCGATCGACGTGCTCGCGCCTCGGCTACGAGGAAGGCCTGAGAAATCGATGATGCATTGTCTTGCCACTTGTGAAGAAACTCACTTTCGTGCTGTTCTTACTTTGGAATATTTTTGCCACGAATTAACCCTCTATCCAGGTAGCTCCAAATACGCGGAGTGTGCGAGAAACGCTACGAAAGTTTGGGAAATTCACCAAACATTTGCTATTACTCATAACACTGGAATATAAATTAATTTGAACGTAGTCTTTGATAAAATTACAAATTTCAGGGAAGTTTTTAATTTTTGAGATTAATTTTAAAGCTACTCTCGACTCTGCTTTGGATTAATTCATTTTTAAGGAAAGTGCTTTAAGTTTTGGGAAAATATTGACTTTCATTATGTATATAATTTTAAAAAGTAATAACGATACAATATTTTTATTTCCCTGAAGGGAGTTTGAATTTTGTCAGTCAGGTGATATGACACGCGTTGGAAAGTTCATGGCGTACTAAAATGACAAAGATATGATATTTTTAAGTCCATTCGTCTCGTAGGTGTACAAAATATATCTTCCTCGAGTACATTTCATACAAGAATAAAATGGTTAAGTATTCGTAGAAGGAACGAATATAAAGTAAAAGTGACTGCAATGTAAAATTAATTAAAATTCAAACAGCATTTGTACCACCCATGCAGGTAATTATTCGGAAACTTAGATTTTATCAGATTTCACTGCGAGGATTTGTAGTATCTATGGCATAAAGTATAATCCACAATCGATGTTGGTATTCCATGTTGTAAACAAAGATTGATGGCTTATAATTATCAACATAACGATCGAATAACCACGCAACGAAGGCAATTAACTAGAATTACACAAAGAAGCTGAGAAGCATAACCTAATAAAACAAGTTTAAAAAAGATCTTAGAAACCTCGTGCTCTTACAAGAATTTTCTTTCAAGAACCATCTTGCTCCCCGAAGATATCCAACATTCGTACCTAATCTCTGTCACGAAACTTAAATCGACAAGTAAAATCGCTCTCACCGTGGCACGTTCGAATTCTGTAGTGCACAAAAGGAATTCCGGAGCTGGCAGTTTCCGGAAATTTAGGATGAGCCAAGGTTGACCATAAAACCCACAAAGATCAGGTAACAGGAGGATCGGGTGGACGAGCAGCACGAGCCTGGTCCTCTCGTCCCATTATTTGTTTCTCTGCCTGGCTGGCAGGCGATGCCATAAGGTAATCAAGAGAGATAGAGGAGGATAAAGCTGGGGGGAAGAGACGAGGAGGGGAGAGAGGCAGGGATGGAATAACTTACAGAGGCAGGTGCTAGGTATATACACGCACCGGTCCAAGAACACAAGGTCCACTCTCCACGGGTCTGCTCGCAGCAATTTCCTCTTTCTTCGACGACGGCAGATGTGCCTGCAAGCCGGTGCAGAGGCACGCAGCACGAGATAACCAGGATTACGAAGGATTCCTTAGAGCAGGCAAGCTGCTAGGGAGTATCGAGTCTCGTGCACAGGCCAAACTTTTTTTCCGCCTGCCAAGACAGACCGCATGAGCCTCTGACTATCGAGCAAGCATTTCACGCGAACACCGGGATAGAGTTTCCAGGGACTAATGAATGGCAAAATGCCTCCTTTCAATACGTGTCGTCGTTCGTGTTCGTGTTTGGCTGATGAGTGAAAGTATCTCGCATACCCGGCGTCGCTTGGGTCTTGCTGCAGGGATGCATTCGTGTTTCTTAGCTGATTCCAGTGAATTATGTGTATGGTAGATGTGGGTATAGGACATGGAACATAATAGTTTTACTTATTCATCCATCGCCTTCCGGCTCGTGGCAACTTTCACAGTCTTTCGTACAAATAGACCTACATCGTGTCACATTAGCTACGTATGTAGCTGACTTGACCTTAGACTTGGCTATACCTTGAATTTCGCTTTGTTGGTTCTTCGACCAGGGTGCACGAGAAGGGGAAAGGAAATTCATTCAGGGAACGGTATTTTTAAATTAATCCTTGTATTACATGTATTAGGGGCGGTAAATTTATTATGAAATTTTATGATCTGTAAAAGAAAGCGTACTTCGATACAATCGAGCCATGCAATATTTATTAATTAAGCAATGTGTTACACCAGTGCAATTTTTTTAGATAAATGCAATATACGACTTCCGCGATTAAGTAGATTAATATCTTTATTCGCAGAGGAGTATGAGTACCTGTCAAATACGATTTACATCAAGACACGAGCAGCCTGGCCAATCGATAAATTTGCAAATTCGCGCGTAAAATACTATCGAACATAGATATAAGTGTCATAATAATTTTTCAAAGATTGATAGCATTGACACCATAATGTCACTCGCTACGAATAAATGGCCATACGATATGCCAAGTCATCGATAGAGCTAGAAACTTCTAGATCATAGACATCTATCCCCGAGTTTCTACTTACCCATCATTGTTATGCAAATATTCGTAATGATGTTGCTCGATCGGTATACCACTTTTTCCATTCGCAAAAAAGTATCGGCGACCGTGACCTTTCTGGCGTTAACAGAGGAAACTTATTACCGACATCTTGCAATATCGGGACGGTGTTGCAAAACTCGAAACCGATTAAACAGATTCTTCTCCGAGGAGTTTCGAAATTCCTTTGTTTCCTCAGGTGAATTTGCGTATGTGGTCACGCAAACGAGTGCAGTCAGATAGGCAAAATCAATATGCAAAGATAATGAGCGTATTAAAAGTGTCAAAGCGAAGATATCGACGATAAAAGGTTATCAGAAGCAAAATCGACCTGGAAAGATACGATGCATCTCGATCGCGAGATAGACCTGGGCTTATATACCGATTTACGATCATACTTATGCGCCAGTTTTAAGTTCAATTTGTATTGGTCTGTATAAAATGCTGTGTACAGATTATTACGACTACTACGAGTAATTAAAATATTTTTATTCTCATTAATAATGGAAAGGTACGGTCGAAGAAAATGTCATGGTACTCACGAGGACGTGCATGTACTATAGTTGTTACTCTCCTCTGTATTTCAAGATCAACGATACTTTTTTACGCGTAATTATGCTTTCAATCGCTTGGAGTTATGGCATTAAGAGACGTAAGACACTATGTCAACAAAATCGTAACATAAATCATCATGATGTCAAGTATTGCATAAAATACTGATTAAGTCAACTATGCGTAATTACGTGATCTTCAAATGGCCTTTAGATCAAAGCTTTAGGCATCATCGATTTCCTCATCCTTTTTATTGAATTATTTTAGCGCATAGGATCGAAACACGAGGACGTAGGGTGTAGGAAGGAAGAATTCCAGATAAACTTGTCAGTTCTCTGTAAAATGATAATCCATGAAAAATGACTTCCTTTTCGAATTATCTAGTGGATTCTAATTAAAATGATTATAATCTGAATTATTTATTTACGTTATATTATACGTTATTTCGCATGGAATAACGCAAGTTGCAATGTCTATTAAGCGTGAATTATTTTTCTTATCACAAATGCGTCGTTGCACATCGCTAAATTCGACTTGAAGTTAGTTGCAACTTGCTGTAATTAGGAATACAAGGTTGATGGAGATAATTTGTCACTCGTATCATTTACATCTGTACATTCAACCTTCTGTAACATCGTGTCACTTGACAGTCACGTGCCTATACAAACGTGATCTTTTAATTTTATTTTACACCTTAATTACGGTGTATACTACTGTACCACTGAACTGTTAACAAACAATATTCTTACACCTTGTAATAATTCATAATTTTTACTCTGACACCCTATCACAAGCTCGTCACGAGCTCATCACAGTAGAATCTTTCAGGTACTATACATTATCACGTTAACAAACTGTCAACAAGCATTCTCCTTACACTTCGTAACAATTAATTTCCAATTTTCATTCCAACATCTCACTCTATCATTTTTCATAGTCATAGTTTGAGGTATAGATTCTCATCAAGCAGTAAATGACTACTTAGGCCAAAGCACAAGGGTAACTTGAAACACAACATGACATGGTTTAGCGCAAAGAGAGCAGAGTTAGGTCAATCCACGTTAATACGATTATCTGATCCTGGTACACGTC